GCTGCGCTGGCTCCGCCGCCTCCCCCGGCTCGGTGTCGGGTTACAGCCCCCGCGCCGCGGGCTGCCGGCTCCATCTCGCCGCAAACTTGCGTGTGCCTCCCCGCCGCCGCTGCAGCGACCCCTGGGGGCTCTGGGCCGACGGAGCGGGGCTGGGGGCTTCTGCCCCACCGCTCGGCCCCGGCTGGGTGGTGCAGGCACCTACTCGGGACACTTTCAAGAAACGTTTGCACGTTTCTCTTGCCTGTGACCCCAGCTGACTTGCTGCCCCTGGGGCGGGGGGCTGGACCCGATGATCTTGCGAGGTCCCTTCCAGCCCTAATGTCTATGAAATCTAGTCGCATGCGGCCTCTTCTCCTCCTTGCTCTTGGGCCACCTTCAGTACCAGCCTCTCCATGGGCAACTAGTGCCACCTTAGTCGGGGTGGGGGAGACGTGCCCCCCAAGCAACCAGTCGGCATTGGAGAGGAGGGGCGTCCTGCGCAGCCGATCTCCCCGCCTGGTGGGGGGTGGTGTGGTGCTCCCAGAAGTGGCTGCAGCACTTTATCCGGTGCTCCCACGCTCCAGGCAGCGCTCGCAGGAGGGGCACTGGTGCTCCCATCTGCTCCATCTGCCTGTTGCCTAAGCGGGGAACATGGCCTGTCAGGGGGTAAACCAGCGCTCGCAGGGGGTGCATATGCATCTCCTAGGTGTTGCCACTGAGCCTCTCCTAACTCTTGTCCAAGTCATCTTCCTGGGGGCAGATGCAATGCAGCATGGGCAGTGCTGTAGCAAGGGGGGTGGAGGGGCAACCGCCCTGGACACCAAAGCAGAGAGGGACACCAACAGGCACTGCCTAGCCGAGGCAGGACATGGGACAGAGCCATGAGTGGCTTGTTTGCAGGGGCATGGGGACTGGTGAAGAGCAAATCCCGCCACTGCGTGCACTCCTGGGCAAGAATGGGGGGGGGGTGCCCCCTGGATCTGTGCTTGGAGCTGCGGGCGGGCTGTGGGCTTTGCCTTGGCCACCAACCTTGGTTGCTACAGCACTGAGCATGGGTACCAAGGGCCGGATTAATGCATAGACCAGGAGTTGTCAACTGGGGGTACACATACCCCCGGGGATACTGGGAAAGGGGCTAGGGAGGTATGCACAGGTGGGTGGGGACAGAGTGCTGCCACCATGCACCGCCGCCTCCCAAGAGCAAGGCTGGGGGGGAATCTGGCACAGATGAACTAGTCACATGCCTAGGACCCTGAGCGGTGGCAGCAAGGGCTGGTCCTTCCTTCCCAGGCCCCTTCTGCCTCCCTTTCCTTCCCTTCCCCTCCCCTGTGCCAGCCTTGCTGCTGCAGCAGGAGCAGCTCCAAGCCCCGTTCCCTGCGGGCAACAGCACCTGGGTGTCTCGACCAGCCTGGGGCCCACGAGTTTGTTTGCCAAGGGCCCACCAGACGTTAATCCGGCCCTGTGGCTACCCCTGCTTCCAATCTGCAACTCTTCTCCAGCGCAGACACTAGCCTGCACCTGGTGTAGAAGACCCTCTGGGAGGAACACGAATATTGCATATCCCAGCTTTCTTCTGCCTCCTGTGCTCTGCCCTGGAGCAATTGGGCAGGAGCCCACGGATGGATCTGGTACTTCACTTTCTAAGTGGCCCAAGAGCCCCAGGGGGTGATGACTTAGCTTGGACCTGCTGCAGCGGTAGGAGGGAGAGATTTCAGGCAAGCTTTGGAGCCAGCAGGGCTCTTCTTCGAGTCTAAGCAGCAGTGGCGGCTTTGCTCCAATACTCCTACAAAGATGTTAACTTTTGTACTCTGGGGGTTCTTTGAAGATGCCTTGAGAAGCGGAAATAATAATTTAAAAAATGTATTTGGGGCCTCCGCTGCTTTTTCAGGATCATTTGATCTAGGTGGCACAGCCAGCTCTGGCTCTTGGCTTCCCTTCTGGGAGGTCTTTGGCAAGATCTTTAAAGGGCCTGATTATGTCATCCAAAGCTGCAGCTCAAGCTGCACTGATCCTCTCTTCCCACCTGAGGGAACTATGCTGATGCTTAGGCCCAGTTTACACTTAAAAACTTTAGCAGTTCTGGTTGAGGTTGTGATTATTTGTGTGTGTGTATGTGTGTAAATAAATAAACTGGGGTAGTTAGGGCCTTGTTACACTGTAATTTTAGGCAACTCCTAGAGCTCTTAACCCCTGAAACTGGTTTTAAGCACTCATTATGCAGCTCAAAATTACACCACTCCAGGGCAGGATTATCTCTGATCCATGCTACCCTGCTCCTGTTACACTACGATGAAACCACTCTAGGCTACACCTTAGTGTAAACATCCCACCCTTGATCCTGATTTCTTGCCAGAGATGCTACTGGAGCAGTTAATGCTGTTGGAGTCAGGCTGGGCAATTGTTTTCAGTGGGAACTGTGAAGCTTCTAGCCTGGGGCGGGCAAAGTCCAGCCCATGGGCAGGATCCGACTGGCAGTGGGCTCCATTTCCCAGCAGCCCCTGCCCATATAGCTTGGGCCAGTCTCCATGGAGACCACAGCTGCAGCTGCCATAGCACAAGGCTGGGGTTGCCATGGAGATCAGCCCTAGCCATGCTGGCAAGGCACGTGGCAGAGCAGGGGCTGCTTCAGAGCTGCTGGGATCTTGCGGTGGAGGCAAGTTGGTCAGATCCAGGGCAGAACTGCAATCTGCAACTTGCATGCTACAGGCAACGGTGCTCAGGCAGCAAAGGAAGAGCAAGCAGGAGGGGACAACAGAGAATGTGCTGTCATAGTTCCTGACAAATCAGGACAATCAACTAGTTACCTTAGGTGCTTGTACACTAATGCACAAAGCCTGGGAAACAAGCAGGAAGAGTTGGAAGTCCTTGCACAGTCACGGAGTTATGACATGATTGGAATAACTGAGACTTGGAGGGATAGCTCGCTCATGGATGGGTACAGATTGTTCAGGAAGGACAGGCAGGGGAGAAGATGAGGAGTTGCAGTTTATGTAAAAGAACCATATGATTGCTCAGAGTTTCAGTATGAACCTGGAAATCAGCCTGTTGAGAGTCTCTGGGTTAGGGTCAGAGGGGAGAGCAACAAGGATTATGTCATTGTGGGGGTCTGCAATAGACCACCAGATCTGGAGGAGGTGGTGGCTGAGGTTTTCTTCAAACAGCTGGCAGAAGTTTCCTGATTACAGGTCCCAGTTCACATGCAGGATTTCAATCACCCTGACATCTGCTGTGAGGGCAATACAGCAGTGCTCAGGCAATCCCGGAAGGTTTTGGAGAGTACTGGGGACAACTTCATGGTGCAAGTGCTGGAGCAGCCAACTAGGGGCCATGCTCTTCTTGACCTGCTGCTCACAAACAGGGAAGAATTGGTGGGGACTGTGGTACTGGATGGCAACTTGGGCAGCAGTGACCACACAATGATTGAGTTCAGGATCCTGAGGAAAGGAAGGATGGAGAGCAGCAGAGTAAGGACCCTGGAGTTCAAAAAACCAGACTTCAAATCACTCTGGGAACTCATGGGCAGGACCCCTGGGAAGCCAGACTGAGGGGGAGAGGAGTCCAGGAGAGCTGGCTGTACTTCAAAGAACTCTTACTGAGAATGCAGGAACAAACCATCCTCAAGTGCATGAAGACTAGCAAATATGGCAGAAAACCAGCTTAGCTTAGCAGGAAACTCTTCAGTAAACTCAGTCACAAAAAGGAAACTTATAAGAAGTGTAAACTTAGACAATTAACTAAGAAAGAATATAAGAGAATTGCTCAGGCATGCACAGATGAAGTCAGGAAGGTCAAAGCAAATTTGGATTTGCAGCTGGCAAGGGATGTGAAGGGTAACAAGAAGGGTTTCTACAAGTATGTTGGTAACAAGAGGAGGATTAGGGAAAGTGTGGGTCCCTTACTGAATGAGGGAGGCAACCTTGTGACAGAAGATACAGAAAAGACTGAAGTGCTCAGTACCTCTTTTGCCTCCATCTTCACAGGCAAGTTCACCTCTCAGACTACTGCACTGGGCAGCACAGTGCGGGGAGGAGGTAAGCAGCCCTCAGTGGTGAAAGAACAGATTAGGGACTACTTAGAAAAGCTGGATGTGTACAAGTCCATGGTGGTGGATGGGATTCACCCAAGGGTGCTGAGGGAGTTGGCTGATGTGATTGCAGAGCCATTGGCCATCATCTTTGAAAACTCATAGTAATCAGGAGAGGTCCTGGATGATTGGAAACGGGCAAACATAGTGCTCAAAAATTAAGAAAGGGAAAAGGGAGGACTGAGGGAGCTACAGAGCAGTCAACCTCACCTCAGACCCTGGAAAAATCATCGAGGCAGATCCTCAAGGAATCCATTACTAAGCACTTAGAGAAGAAAAAGGTGATTAGGGACAGTCATCATGGATTTACTAGGGGCAACTCATGATGGACCAACCTGATTGCCTTCTATGATGAGGTGACTGGCTCTGTGGATGCAGGGAGACCAGTGGATCTGGTGTACCTTGATTTTAGCAAGGCTTTTGATATGGTTTCCCACAACATTCTTGCAGGCAAGCTAAGCAAGAATGGCCTGGATGAATGGATTGTAAGGTGGATAGAAAAACTTGCTAAAGCATTGCACTCAGAGATTAATAATCAATGGCTCAATGTCTAGTTGCTGACCAGTATCAAGTGGAGGACTCCAGGGATCAGTCCTGGAGCCGGTTTTGTTCAATGTCTTCATCAACGTCCTGGAAGATGACTTAGAGTGCACCCTCAGCAAGTCTGCAGATGACACCCAGCTGGGGGGAGTAGTAGATAGGCTGGAGTGTAGGGCTAGGATTCAGAATGACCTAGACAAATTGGAAGATTGGGCCAAAAGGAATCTCATGAGGTTCAACAAGGACAAGTGCAAAGTCCTGCACTTAGGATAAAACAATAGCATACACCGCTAAAGCTTGGGGGCTGACTGGCTGGGTAGCAGCTCTGCAAAAAAGGACCCGGGGGTTACAGTGGACAATAAGCTGAATATAAGCCAGCAGTGTACCCTTGTTGCCAAGAAGTCTAACAGCATACTGGGCTGCATTGGTAGGTGTGTTGCCAGTAGGTCAAAGTGATTTTTCCCCTCTATT